ATGCTGAATATCTAAGACTCTCACATAAAGAATAGTTATTTGGATTAAGCACTCTTGAGTCTGCCGTCATCCTTGAGACAGGACAGGAAAGAGAAAATAAAATGTCATTGTGCGAGGGGCAAGAAAGACATCCAAAAGTCAAAGACTAAATGAGACAATTGCAACACAAAAATACTTGAGCAAAGCAGTTAAATACTTCAGCAAAGCACAATAACATCTGAACGTCAGGCAGCAGCAATTAAAATTTTGGGCCAAATGATGATGAAAACCCAACTGCAGTTTGGTTACAGCTATTGTTGTAAGCAAATTGTCTGCAACATGCACCTATAAATATATAGTTACTACACTTTACAGTAATTCTTGTGAAGCATTTTGAGATATCTGATGATGTGCTAAGGTGACATATCAAATGCAGTGATTATCATAATTGTTATGGGTATAAAGTACTTGAAGTATTTACATACCCAATGCCTTATGACTAGACAGTGACATTCACCTATAGAAATGAAAACAGATGCAATTTAATATTTACAGTGTATAAAGGACAGGCAAAGTAAAAGTAAAGTAAAAATAAAAGAAGTAACACTAACTCCAATGGCAGTTAGTCAAATAGACTAAGAGCAAACGTACAGCAGCAGGACTGCAGCAAGGACTTGATCAACATTGATAAACTATAACACAAAATACTGCAGATGCTGGAAATCTGAAACAAAAACAGAAGTCACTGGGAACACTCAGCAGGTCAGACAGCATCTATGGAGAAAGGAAAGTGAGTCAACTTTTCATGTCCACGACCCTTCGTCAGAATGGCCCCAGTCTTTTTGTGTCGACTGTCTCCTTGATAAACTATGCTACCTTGAGGCCTGTGACTACGTAAATCCCTGATGCCTTCATGCTTTCTTTTGAGTAAACATACACAAACCTTGGCCAGATCAGAAATGCATCAAAGCAAATCTATTAGCATCAGCAATCTCAGCTCAAGCATAAAAGGCAATTCTTGCTGGTGGAAGTAAAAACTGGTCGTGGCGTTAAGAAAGATATTTCCTACAAAAATCACATGAAAAATAGCATGCCATATAATCACACCATGCGGGTAATACAGCATAAAATTTACATCGTCAACAGCAGTTGAAGCTAGCTGACAGACATCAAATATCAATAGTATCATACCTGCTACAGAAAATAATAGGGGGAAAAAATCTTTTAGCAACTTCCAGTACCCTCGCCTGAAGGCACACTGTTCTGCACTGATCAGCACTGTTGTCAAAAGTTTTTAAGAATTTTCCTTTCCCGGACAAGCTGTTGTTGAAACTAACTTGATAAATTCTTTTCAAAACGGAATAATATTGCCCTTGTCGGGGAGCTGTCATGTGCAGAACTGAGGCATTCAGACCGCAAAGGTTCCAGGTCGAACTCGGTGCTCTATGCTGAGTTAGCTAATCTATGTAATTTTATCAGATTTACTTCAACCAATTCTCTGCAGAGTCTATACAAGATGGAATTTTCATGATTTGTTGAGTTTTGTTCTTTATTTTAATATTTTTAAGAAAAAGTTGGCAAGTAACTAAATCATCTTCTCATCTTGTTGCATTGTCAGAAGTGCCATTCTTCAGTTAAGAAATTAAACCGTGGTGGACACTAAAGATAAAATGGCACTATTTGGAAAAGAGAAGGAATTTTCTCCCAGTGTCATGGCCAACAATCACCTAGATAAAATTGTTCAGTTGCTTTGTGGTTGTTTGTGAGACATCACTGTGCAGAAAATAACTACCATGTTTATCTATACAATACACAATCACTACACTCTACAGTAAATTACAGCAAACAAAAGTCAGCTACTTGTGAAAGATAATGGGCAATGACTTCTGATTAATTGTAGCTGCTCCTTTGCTCTTGCTGCTGGAAGTGGGTAACACTCCATGTCCTTCCTTGTTCCTGCAGAACCTTTTAATCGAAAACCTATTATTAAAACCATGACTCCTGGATGAGAGCAAGACATGGTGTCTACACATGAAATCCAATCCTTTTCACTCAATCTTTAGTTTCCTAATGCAAGTAATCATTTTAATTGTCTATTGGTATTATATATGCAAGACCAAAGAGCCCCTGTAGGTTCATACAACTTATTCTTCATATTTCCCTCCAATTTTCCTCCCCTTCTCCCTAGAAGTCATGAATGACGTGGTATGATTCAAAGAGCATGAGTCTAAGCCAATAACTAAGAGTGTTCTTCCAGCGCTTTGGGAAGTCCTCCCAACGTGAAAGGCGCTCTATAAATGTAATTTTGTTGTTGTAGTTGTTGTATTTGCAAGCTGGGTTGGGAAATGTGGCAGCACATTTCTGTTCACAAACCAGGTAACAATCTGAAATAGATTCTGGCAGAATTTTCACTCATCAGAAGAAAATTACAGCACTGGAATAATGTGCAGTCGGCCTCAGGGATTGAATTTGACAGCATCCTGATCTGTTATGGCTGGGATTCATATTAGACAATGACTTTTCTAAATGTCTTTACTTGATTTTGGCAAAAAAAAGTGTGTGAGAAGATCTGAACAGTCTCCAAAATGGCTTATTCTGAGAGTACATTGACTGCATTCAAACATTTATGCTACCAACCATTGCAATGACTGTAATAGCTTTAATTCAACTTTTTTTTTACTTTGAGGATTATCACCTTCGCATTTTCTCTCTTTTTCCTCCCGATCTTCAGACACCATTCAGTTTTACACCCTCCCTAGACTACAGACAGCTGGAAGTTGAGCAGTTTGCTTTCAGGACTTTGAAATTGCTTCACTGAACCAGCTGCCAGGAGGCATTCAAGAACAGCTCAGGGACAACTTGCCCTTTGAAGTTTTGAGGACATCTTGATCTCCAATTGTTTCCCTAATATGCTGTGTCTGGGACCTTGGTGCATTCTCAGTTCTCTGGAGACTATCATTGATGCTCCGACATGCTATGCTATTGCCTTTTAAAAACTCACACTATTTTGTAGGTCATTTCACTCAGTTTAAGCTTTTACTCGGAGTCGTCTCCGCCACTGTCAAGTGCTCTGGAACCCTACCCAGCGTGAGGGGCGCTATATAAGTGCAAGTTGTTGTTTTTACTCATACTGTAGGGACGTTCCTAACCCTAAAATTTAGCGCTTTGGTTCAGTAAAGCAGCATGTTTCAAAATATTAAACATCTTTCTTGCTATTTTTCAGTGACTTACATAGGTGAAAATAAGCTATTTATTTATTGGTAAACAGGTATTTCCTGTTCTTATTTCTTATTGTGGGAACAGTAGAAAGATTCATTTGTAAAAGAAAGATGAAGAAGGTGCCCAATGGCTCAGGACGTAGCTTAACCATAGGCCCAAAGGATTGAAGGTTCAATTTCAGCTTGTATTCAGTTAGTGATCTCAACACAACAATAGAAGAAATGATATAATTCACCAAAATCACTGTCAAGTCACACACCTCGGGGAATGGTCATTTAGGAACGCACTGCAGGGCGGTCTGTGACTCTACCCTGACAAAGAATCATACTTTACAAATCACTTGTAATTTTTTTCATTGGTTAATTACGAAATTAAGGACATGTCTAGTTTGTTCAGTGTTACGGATTTCTTTTCTTATCTGATTTCAGGATTGTCAGTGATACAAAGGAAGTTATTTTTCATTACAAATCCATACCTGTTACCTGCTTTGAGATGTCCTCCTGTCATGAAAAGCGCTATGTAAATGTAATTTGTATTGATGTCAGACCTCTGCTAAATTACATCTCACAAAATATCTATTTTCACGATTATAATTTTCCTTTGTGTGTAGAAAGAAATGTGACATGCTGGTAACTATAGAATATTGACAGTCTGCACAACTTTTAAGTGGCTCCACTAAGTAAATAGAATCAAAGAATGTTGCACTGGAGGAGCCAGTGTTTTTTTTCACATGAGAAACTTATCTAATCCTGTACCCACCCTTTAATATTACTTTTTTGAAAGTATCTGATTATCTGAATAGGAACTGCCTCCTGTTCCCGATCCTCATCCTGGTTCACCAGCCACCTCCGCTCGCTCAAGGGCCAGGTGCGGGCTGCCGAACGCACTTGGCTCAAATCCGGCCAAACGGTCCACTGGCACATCTGGCTGGACCTCATCAAGACCTACCGCTCCGCTCTCGCCTCAGCCAAATCATCCTTCTATTCCAGGTTGATCCTGGAGGTGAAGGGCAACCCCAGGCTCCTGTTCTCCACCACCAACCAAGCACCTCCACCCTCCCCGCAGGTTCTTTCCTCCGACTCCCACTGCGAGGAAATTCTGGACTTCCTCGGGTCTAAAATCGAGGGAATCCACTCAGCTGCCACTCCCCTCACAACTTCCATCCCTTCCCTACCCACCCCTCATTTTCAAGGCTCTCCATGGCCTTGCCCCCTCCTACCTCTCTGACCTGCTGACTCAGTATCAACCTGCCCGCTCCCTCAGTTCAGTGGGTTCCACCCTGCTCCATGTCTCCCACCCGACCCGCCCTACCATCGGTGGCCGGGCTTTCAGCCTCTCTGTTCCCATTCTTTGGAACTCCATCCCACAATCCCTCCGCCTTGCTCCCTCTCTTGCCTCTTTCAAGGTACAATTCCTTTTCGACAGTGCCCTCAGCTGCCCTCCTACCTCTCTGCCCTCCCTCATCCCAAACCTGCCCCCCCCACACTCGGGTCCTGACTGTTCCTCCCGATGTGAAAGGCACTTTACAAACGTAATTTTGCTGTTGTTGTTGTAATTTGACTTAGAAAAAATGTTGACTTTGAAATATATGTTTAGACTAAAGTTAAATTATTGCTCCATACTTAATAGATTTCGGAATGAGTGGGCGGACTATGAGTTAACGGAAATATCTTTCAATTTCATGCTAAGTTTAACATTTATACAAGTCATAAATTAGTTTGGGTTTTTGAAAAGTTATTTGAAGTATGTGACTATTCAAAGTTTTGTTAACTTTGACAGTAATATTTTTCATCGTCTTTCAGTGGATGTGCGATCCCTAAATCTACCGGGAAATTATCAAGAAAAGATCACAAATCTGGGAAATTCCCTTAAGAGCTTTGTACGTTTGAAGTCACTCGACCTTTCTCGGAATGCTTTGGTTACATTGCAGGTATGTTTACTTTGTTGATGTAGACTCAAACCAGTTTGCCTAGTAGAACTGTTAAATGCATGATGTTTTAGTTGTCGTTCTGTTGGATGTTGTTTTTAATAGTTCAGAAAATATTGATAGTTTTAAATTGGTTATAAGTGCGTGTTAAATTGATACACTGGGCCCAATATAGAACGGTCATCTGTGTTCAATATAATATGAGGGACAATAGCTTGTCTTTTTGTTCAATGTGCAGAATATAAGGAGCAGGTATCTCTTCCAGCAGGGCCTGAGGAGAAGGAGAAACTTGAGCTCTTCAAATCTGGTCTCAAAAAGTTTGACATCACAGTATAGTGATAATGGCACAACAGAAAATAATTTGCCCCGAACAGTGCTCTCCCACTGGTAATGCTATACTGTATTGAAACAGTAACACAATAAAAATACAGATTTAAGACAATTTTTCAACAACAACAAAATCACATTTGTATAGCGACTTTCATGTCGGGAGTACGTCCCAAGGCGCTGGATAGACAGAGTTTCGGACACGAGCTGGGGGTCGGGGTGGGGGATAGCAGGGGGGGAAGCAGGGAGATCGAAAGCACGGTCGAAGAGGAGGGTCTTGAGATGGGTCTTGAAGGTGGCAAGGGAGGAGGTGAGGCAGAGGGACTGCGGGATGGAGTTCCAGAGGGTGGGAGCAGAGTGGCAGAAGGCCCGCCCGCCAATAGTGGGGCGAGCAAGGCGGGAACTTGAAGCAGCCGGAGTCCGCTGAGTGGAGGGAGCGAACAGTGTAGTAGAGGGTTAGAAGGTCATAGTGGTACTGGGGAGCAAGACCATGGAGGGCTTTGAAGGTGAGGACCAGGATCTTGAACTATATCCTCTGTGTGATGGGAAGCCAGTGGAGTTGGACAAGGATGGGGGTGATAGGGTCACGGAGCCTCGTGCAGGAGAGGACATGGGCTGCAGAGTTCTGGATGATCTGCAGTCTGTGGAGGGAGGAGTTAGAGAGGCCAACAAGCAGGGAGTTTGCAAAGTCGAGCCTTGATGAAATGAAAGCATGTATGAGGGTTTTGGCGGCCTGCAGTGTGAGATAGTGTCGGAGCCGGGCGACATTGCGGAGATGGGGAAGGCAAAGCATGTCATGGCGCAGATGTGGGGCAGAAAGGATAGTTGAGGGTCAAGACCCCCTGGTTCCGGACTGGCTTAGCAAGGTGGAGTTTGAAACCACGGATGGTGATGGTGTCAGCGCCTGAGGTGTGGAGGTGCTGACGGGACCAATCAGGAGAGACTCGGTCTTATTGACGCTCAACTGAAGAAAGTTTGCTCTCACCCAGACTTGATATCTGACAGACATTTTGTCAGGACAGCAGTGGTCCTGGAGTCAAGGCTGGAGGCAGAGAGATATAGTTGGGTGTCATCCGCATACACGTGGAAGTTGACCCCATGTCTGCAGATGATGTCACCAAGAGGGAGCATATAAATATTGATAATGTCTATTGGCTGGATGTTCAATGCTGCAATTTAGTTTGCCTTTCATTGTTTGAGAATTTAAGAATTGAAAATCTAATAATCAAAGCAGCTATATCTACTTCCAAGAAGATTTTGTAGAAGTGCTTTAAAGTTTTACCATTGCAATTTTCCTATTTTGGAGTATATATTTGTTTTGCCCACAAAATATAGTCAATTCACTTTACAGTATATTCTGTGAAGCGCATTGAGACGTCTTGAAGACACGACAAGGACAAGGCGCTATATCAAATGCAAGGATTATTATTATTATTATGTGCCTTGGCTGCCTCCGGCACTCCTCTAAAGCAGAGTTATTTATTCACGAATGAATTTAGTAAAGTATCAGAATTGTACTTAATCCTGTCCTTCCCTGCTGCGCCCACACATACCTTTTCCACCAACGATTACTGAATAGAAATCAGGAATAGGTTGAACCTATGATTGAATTTCAGTCCCCCTCCTCTCAGCCCAATAGCCCGTTGTATTGTTGTGCTGGTTGAGATCAGCTAACATAGCACAGACCAGGGATTTAACATAGGACTGTGTTCGTTCTTATAGTTCAGCTTCATACTGAGGACCTCCACCAAATCCTTTGTTGCATTGCATTAATAATTATATAATAATTACCTTTATTTATTCCACTATGTGACTAACTATTGAGATAGATTTGCAGCATCCCAAGGTTAGCTCTACACTTTGCTTTAACTAAGTATACTGGTATACTTCAATATGGGACTATTCTCGCTGACAAATAATGGGATTATTTGTCAGAGAAGAGCTAAGATAATTACTGTGTCACAAATTCAATTAAGAAAGCCACAAAATGATTATTGTGCTCATGTTAAAATATCTTGAAAGGGCTTTATAGCGTTACTACTGCTTGTACAATTTATGCAAAGAAATACAGGAATAAACATTACAAATTTTTTGTAAAATGATGGTATACATTTTGCCCACAAAATATAGTCAATTCACTTTACAGTGTATTCTATGAAGCAATTTGAGATGTCTCAAAGATGTGATAAGGGGGTCTATATAAAATGCAAGGATTATTATTATATAGAGTTACTTGGTCTCTTGCTGTCTTTTCATAAATAGTAGCTAAAGCAGTGTTTCTTACCAAGCAGATCTTATTACCAGGATACAATGCTGTGTCGTTATTAATACTGTTTAATGTTCAATGCTCTAGGGAGAAAAGAAGATCGCATAGTCTGTATTATGTTCCAGTTGTGTGTCTAATGGGAAAGAAGGATCTCGGTCTGTTCCCAGCATTGTTAAAAACATCTGAAATGCTGGAACAAGATCAGACTATTTAACTTCTCAAGCCCATTCCTTCCACAGACCCCGCAAAGCCTTCTGAGGGACAGGACAGTTCCTCATAGATACTTCCTGATCCCAAGAGGTAATTGAGCTTAAACCCATTCATCCATCCATCTCTCCATTCCCACTTCTTCATTATTCAGCGTGGTCTGCTGCTCTCCATAAACAAGCTTCCTACCCCCCCCCGCCTGTCCCTCCTCCTCAACAACAATCACAACTTACATTTCAATAGCACTCTCCGTACAACATAGCTTCTACGAGCACTGCGCAGTAGCAGGTTTGGACACTGAACAAGAGAAGATGAGGTAACCATAGGCATAGCCAAAGAGTTAGATCTTAATAATAATGATAATAATCCTTGCATTTGATAAATTGACTCATCATGTCTTCGAGACATCTCAAAGCGCTTCACAGAATATACTGTATAAAGTGAATTGACTGTATACTTTATGGGCGAAACTCACAGCAGTGTTCCCACAAATAGTCGTGAATTGAATGAACAAATTATTATTTTTTTTTGAAGGAATTATTATCTCCAGAAAAGCAATCTGCCAATCGACTAACACCTGGGTTCCTACTTACTGCAAGTAAACAGAGGCAGAAACTTGCCCAATCTTTTGCCCTGCCAGGAATCGAACCCAGGTCTCTCACTTGCGAGGCAAGTGCTCTAACCACTGAGCTACAGGACTCAACAACAACAACTTGCACTTATATGGGCCCTCCCTGCAGGATAACGTCTCAGAGCACTTAAGAGTGGCAGAGGCTGTCTCCGAGCCAGGGGGAAAGGGGAGGTGGCAGTAAGCATGTTCAAAGAAGAAAGTTTTCAGGCGGGACTTGAAAGAGGGGGCAAGGCAGAGAGATCGAGGGAGAGTGTTTCAGAGTTTGGGGGCGTAGTGGCTGAAAGAATGATATCTGGTGGTGAGGCAGAGGGCGAGGGATGAGCAGAGGATGCGAGGTGCAGGTCGAGCGGAGGTGCTGGGTGATGGATTGAGGAGTGAGGAGGTCAGAGAGGTAGGGAGATGCCAGGGAGTGAATGGATTTGAACCCGAGTGAGGATGTTGAAGTTGATCCATTTGGTGATGGGGAGCCAGTGGAGCCTGGCCAGAACTGGTGAGATGTGGGTCCGTGTCAGTATGCGGGCAGCAGAGTTTTGAATGAGCTGGATCTTGTGAATGGTGGAGCTGGAGAGACTGCGAGGAGTGCTTTGGAGTAATCCAAGCGGGAGGTGACAAACGCATTAACGAGGGTTTTGGCTGCATTTGGGGTCAAAGGCGTGCAATGTGGCGGAGGTGGAAGAAGGCGGTCCTGGTCAGTGACTGGATGTGGGGGAGGAAGGACAGCTGGGGGTCGAACCGGACACCGAGGTTATGTACTGGTTCAGTGAGTCTGAGGGAGAGTCCAGGGAGGTTGAGGAGTTTAGATTCGCAGGAGTGAAGATGTTGACAGGAGCCAAGGAGTATGGATTCTATCTTTGTCCATATTCAGCTACAGGAAGCTTACACTCATCTAGAACTTGATGTTTGCCAGACAAGCTGATAGAACATCAGCGGACCTGGAGTTGATACTGGAGGAGGAAAAGTAGATTTGTGGAAGTATACTCCGTGTCTGTGGATGACATCGCCCAGAGGGAGCATATAGATAAGGAAAAGAAGAGGGCCAAGGATGGAGCCGTGGGGTACCTCGCAGGTGCCCAGGCAGGGGCGGGAGGAGAAACTATTTGCTGAGATGAAATGGAGGCAGTTGGATAAGTAGGATTCAAACCATGTGAGTCCGGTCCCACTGAAGTGGATGAGGGAGGAGAGCCAATGGAGGAGGATGGTGCGGTTGACTGTGTCGAACGCAGCAGAGAGATCCAGGAAGACGAGGAAGCAGAGGGAGCCCTGGTCACAGAGAGAGAGAATGTTGTTTGTGACTTTGACAAGCGCTGTCTCTGTGCTTTGGGCAGGGCGAAAATCAGACTGCAAGGGATTAAGGAGGGAGTGGAGGGAGAGGTTTGACTGAAGTTGACCTGCAACAGTATGTTCGAATAGGTGAGATAGATAAAGAGTGGAATGAGGTGGAGCTCCTCAGATCCTAGCAGTATGGAAACAATTCTGTCCTTTGCAGTATTTGTTCACCTCACCTAGAAACTAACCCTATAATGTCATTTCCCAAGGAGATAAGTACCGAGGTTCTTTTATGAGGGAGTTAAGTGATACAATATCAGTAGCTTTTGTTCAGAGTATCATCACAGTATGAATTATTCTTGGGGGCAGCAGAAGAAATTCATAGTCTCAGTTGAGGCTTTTTGGTTTAAAGTTTGAAGTTCCCCCACCTCTCCGAGTTCTGCTAGCACAGTTTAAGTTGAGTCGTCTGCTTTATCTACATCATTTATGCCTCATCATTTTGCAAAGCTGCATAAAGCTGGCTTTCAAATTAAGATTGAATTTATTTTGTTCACATTTCTGTGTGTGAAATCTTCCAATTTTAAGCCAATGGTCTTCAGGCTATGACCATGAGCAATTTCAGGTCTTCGGATCCCTATTGATCTATCAACATTTCGGAATGTCTTTGGCATTGGCAAAAGCAGACACCGTCAGACCCCAGTTGACCTTGGATCTTATTGTGAAATTCAGTACAGTACTTGAAGTTCAGTGATCAGCCCTCTAAATTTGTTACTGTGTCTAACCAATATCAAAAAAATGAATTTCCTAATTGAAATAATTGAACATCTATCTAAATGCATTTCCTAAGCTTTAATAAGTGTTTTCTTATTATGCACACAGGGGATTGAGCAGTTGAAACATTTGGAAAAACTAAATTTGTATTATAATAAAATACCTAGTCTGAAAGAGGTATTTTGCATCCGTAACTTGACCGCCCTGAAGGACTTGGATCTTAGACTGAATCCTGTTTCCAAAAACGAAGCAGACTATCGGCTTTTTGTTGTCCACATGCTGCCCAATCTTAGAAGATTAGGTAAGTATCTTTCTGGTTTAAAATAATATATGACAATTGTTTTCACCAATTTCAGTCCTTTGGACGAGACATTAAAGATGAGGTCCCATCTGCTTGTTCAGGTGGGTGTTAAAGATAATAATAATAATAATCCTTTCACATCTTCTAGACATTTCAAAGCGCTTCACAGAATATACTGTAAAGTGAGTTGACTGTATATTTGTGGGCCAAACACCGCAGCCAATTGCGCACAGCAGTGACCCACAAACAGTCGTGGATTGAAGTGATCAATTTATTCTTGTTTTTTTTCTTGAGGGATTATTATCAGGCATGAGGAGTAAGGAAACTTTGCCCAAGGTTCCGCCCTGCAGGGAATCAAACCCAGGTCTCTCGTTTGTGAGGCGAGTGCTCTAACCATCGAGCTACAGGACTCCATGAGTCCACGAGTCCTGTAACTAAATTCCTAAAGCTGCCACTTTGGCAGTGGAAAGACATCATTATGGCAACAGATACCCGGCTCAATCACAACTCCTCACTAAGTGCCAGTAGTGCTACTTGTTCTTTATAAAGCTGATAAGAGCTTACGAACCGGTTAACGTATCAAAAGGTATGGAGGGAAGAGAATGGGGGAAAGCAAGAGAAAGCAAAATTAATTTGTAATAGACACGGAGCCAGTCATTGACATTTCCCACAAGTATTCTTAGTGTCCAGTATAAGAATAATAAATGATAATTGCATTTGATATCGCTCCTTATCATATTGTCAAAATTGTGTCAAAGTTGCTTCACAGGATTTTACTGTATAGTGTAGTGCCTTTGCATTTGTAGGCAAATGTGACAGGAGACTTGCACACAGTGATGTTCCGCAAACAGTTATGAAATGAATGACCAATTTTATCTAAACATTTTACATGATAGATGTGAAAGAAATGGGACCTCACTCCACAGCCTGCACAAATAGCAAGCGGCATATCTATTCCACATGGTGATTGGTACAGAGACACGCAATTCAGCTACAGGATACTATAATACAAAAGAAGCAACTAGGCCTGATGCACAAATACAAGCAGATCAGACTCACGGCGTCATTCAAAGGATCCCACGGCACCATACAAAACGAGAAAGGAGTTTTTTCCAGTGTCCTGGCCAACAATCCACCAAATCAAATTGGTACAGTAAAACTCACATAAATCTGATCTTTATAGATCGTATAATTGCCTATGTCATACATCTGTCCAAGTCCCATTCAAGAGTTTACATTCTATGTAGGTTTCACTTAACTCATTCTTTGCATAAGTCATATTAAATGTATGGTCCCAATTGATACGACTTATGTGAGATTTACTGTAATTCACTTCATGGCTGTTGTGCAGCATTATGCAGATTGACTGCTGCATTCACCTACAAAATACACAGCAGCTACACGTCAGTAAATCCTATGCAGCACGTTGGGAATTCCTCCCATCGTGAAAGGATATAAAATTCAAAGGTTATTATTGTTTTGCTTAATATTATAGAGATCCTAGATAATATACTCTTTCCCATCTAGTGGCATATCTTACGTCCAGCAGTCTGTATTTGTGTGACTTGGATTACATATGAGGGAATTTCTTCAAGTTGTATCCCAATTGCTTCAATGCTTCAAATATTAATTGAAACCACTTACCTTCACAATTTCCACAGTAATGTGCAGTTCTTTTGAAGTTGTCTTTGTGACTTATTTCTGTCTACTAGGCCTTCACCGATGATTGTGCACGTCTGTATAGACTACCGATGTGAAAACTGCAGGAATAACCTATTCAGTTGAGCTGTAAGCTCAGTCTACCAGCATCCAACATGGTGTTGTTGGTATTGTGTGAAGCAGTGGGAAGAAACATATTGTTTCTGGAGACATGGGGTGGAGGGAAAGGGCTCTTAGGAGGTTACAGCTGAAAGCAACAGGGCTACCTTATTTATCCCAAGTTAAATGTGGCTTCAGTTGCCCGTTTCCCTCCAACAGTGACTAGTAAAGAAAGAACGGTTCTGAATGGTGAACCTACAGCAACAAGAGCTTACTCAGTAATGGAACGTTTTTCAGAATCTTGGCAGCTTTCTGTAGCTGTCAACGTATATGTCACACACTGTACAATTCTGTCCTCCAGATTTTCCATGTATGAAAATGTTGTTAAAGAATCTCTCTTGTGATCTCGAGGTACGTTTTCTACATCGTGTTAATTCAAAATAATTAACCATGCTGTTACCACGCACTTTAGTAATACTGGAAAGAGTAACTAGGGCACCAGTAATAATGTTAAGAGCTCATCGTAGAATAAATGAAGGGAAGACTATAACCTCTGCATGTTTGAACATACAGGTGAACCAGCAGTTTAGCTGGGCCTGCCAAGGATAATTTCCCAGATTGTAAGTGATTTTCTTGTTCGTTCAGTTATAATTAGGGTAGATTTTCCAGGCTAGGATTTTATAACAGTACCTTTTCACTTCAATAGTGTTACAGCTTTAAACAGAGCATTGTCACCTCTAATGTGGAAGGTGTAATATTTTTATACGCAGCCATTGTAAAGCTGCTTATAGGAGGGACAACAATTACGTTGCTTTCAGTAATCCACCTAACCACATTCTGCCACCTGGCACCAGACTATTAAAGTAACTGAAATGACAGTTGGTTGTTTGCAGTCCAGCAGTTTGCAGAAACAATAATGGAAACATTATTTGTCTGTTGCTATGTGCAACTTGGCTGCAGTGCTCACCTGAAAAATGTACAATCACTCCACTTTACAGTATATCCTGAGAAGGGATGTGAGACGTCATCCTGACGTGAAGGGCACTATCGCCAAATGTAAGTGTTATTATTTAAGCAAAAATGGAAATATAGAATTCCCAGCACAGAATCATGTCCATACCAGCTCTTAGGAAAAGCTTCCCATTTAGTCTCACATTCTTACCCTTTTTGCAAACCCCTTAATATTGCTTTTTCAAATTCGATTTTGAAAGCGATTATGGATTCTACTTCAATTATGTTTCTATTTGTAGGGCATCTATTGTTCTAACTGGTCTCTGCAAGAAGAATTGAACTGTTGCCCTTGTTTTTTTAAATTATATAAAATTTATGTCCTCTTGTTACCGACTCGCTGACCAGTAGAAATAATTTCTCATTATTTAAGTTAAACCTCTGAAATTTGAACACCTCTTATCATCTCACCATTCAACTTTCTTTGCTCCAGTGAAAACAGCCCCAATTTCTCTCTTCACTCTTCATACTCAAATACCAGGATATTACTGTATTATATGCTAAAGCCTGATATTGCTATAAAATTGCAAGTTCTTCTTTGTACCTATCAATCGCTGCTTTAGAACTTCTGAGTTGAATCTGCCTCTATGGTCCTCTTGTGCATCACAACCCTCTGTGAAGAAATGTTCTGAACAATACTTGTGTGATGATATCAAGCTGTCCAAGATGCATGTTCAGAATGCCACAATACTAAGGAATTTGCCACAAGCGTTCTCCAAAAGTCCAGTGGTCGTGGCAAAATACCGCTGCCTTTTTGCGGTGGAATTTAGGAGTTTGTTACTGTTTTGCCCACAAAACATACAGTCAATTTACAGTATATTCTGTGAAGTGTTTTGCGACGTCTCAAAGACACGATAAGGCGTTATGTCAAATGCGAGGGCTATTATTATTAGCTGCAAAATTGAAAACGATATAGGCAAGTTAGTTAATGTGTTGCTTCCAATTCATCAAGTTAGACGCTGCATTGTAACAGATTTGATGAAAAAAATGGCCATTGTCCTGCTTCCGGCTCATCAGGTTGCCATGAATGTTCCTTCTGAGGGGAGAGGACCAGCTGACATTGTGAGCATGAGCAGAGCACACAGGAGGCTGGCTGGTGAGCTGACACTGCTCCTGAGCGGCTCGAGAAACACTCTTGATAAGGAAAACTACTGATAAAGAAAACAGTTAGGGGGAATAATTCCTTCAAAAACAATAATGATAATAAATTGATCACACGGCTGTTTGCGCCACACCCTCCGTGCGCAATTGGCTGCTGCGTTTCGCCCACAAAATGTACAGTCAATACACAAAATTCACTTTACAGTATATTCTGTGAAGCGCTTTAAGACGTTTGGGAGACGTGATAAAGAGCTATATCAAATGTAAGGATTATTATCATTATTTGTCTGTTGCTTGGACCAAAATTAGAATTTGAACCTCAGCGTTAGGAATATCCTGACCGTCACACAAAAAAACAAATTGAACTTTAGATTAATGCAAAAATAATTTCGGGTTCGTCACAGTGAAGTTGACGAATGTGATTTTGTTAAAAATGGAAGGGCACAACCGGTAACGTAAGAAACTGGCAGCTTTGTCAAACAATAACAGTTGAGTGTTATTACGGTGGTTGATTTAATCTCTTGCAGACGATCGGCCAGTTAGAGACAGTGAGCGCAAAGCGGCGTTGATGCACTTCTGCTCTGATCAGGCCTATGAGTTCCATGATCCTCTTGTCCTGGAACTGGAAACCGAAAGGTGAGAAAAACAAACATTAGATTTCAGCACTGTTTGCTTTATGAATTGTAATCTCAGTGTGCCTGCCTATAATAATTGCGAGGTGGAAATATTCAATCATGAAAATGTATTTTGTCGGCCGAGTATAAAGTTGGCCACCATTGTCCTAGCACCTCCCTTTCTCTGACCTTCTCCTTCCCACTTTCCTGCTCGTCCCCTTGCTCAGCTATCTCAGGATGGCTCCATGTCCCTCGTCCCTTCCATAGAGTGGAGGAATCACCATCGGTGGTCGAGCCTTCAGATGCTATGCTCCTAATCTCTGGAACTCCATCCCTGTACTCTTCTGTCTGGAATGCCCCTCTCTTATCTAATCTATTTAGCCTTCAGCTGCTACGCTAATCTCTGGAACTCCATCCCTGTACTCTTCTGTCTGGAACTCCCCTCTCTTATTTAATAACAATAATAACAATCCTTGCATTTGATATAGCGCTTTTCATGTCTTCTAGACACCTCAAAGTGCTTCACAGAATAGACTGTAAAGTAAATTGACTGTATATTTGTGGACGAAATGTGGCAGCCAATTGCGCACAGCAGTGTCCACAAACAGTCGTGGATTGAAATGACCAATTTATTATTGTTTTGGAGGGATTATTATCAGGCATGTGGAGTAAGAAAACTTGCCCAAGGTTTCACCCTGCTGGGAATCAAACCCAGGTCTCTCGCTTGCAAAGCAAGTGCACTAACCACTGAGCTACAGGACCTTGAATCCCACTCTAAACAATTACCTCTCGAATATCCCTAAGGTCTAACCCTATATTCGTTAAGTGCTCTGAAACATTATTCTACCTGAACATTGCTGTATAAATTAAAGGACGTTATTGTTATTTATGTTAAAGTATGTGCCGGGATCCTCTTTCTGCTGGATAGCTCTGCAATAAATAATAAATAACTTTTTAACTGCATACAAGTCATTTAAAATTATTTTTGCAATACAGAATATTGGATTTTCAGTTATAACATCATATTGCTTCCTTGTTTACCAACAGAATTGCATGTTTAGAGCATGGGCAGCATTGATGATCTTTAAAAAAAATGTGATGGCTGTATGAGTGAATGCATCTTGTATGGGGCATTGACCTAAGTTTGGTCTGTAGTCTGTCTTGATTTCAAATGCAGCTGCAATAGAAACACTATAATCGGCCTCAACGCATTCAAATCAGATCGTAGAGGTGGACAGCCAGTAATATAACACACTGTGCCACCCTGTCCAATCCCTAGATTAACCATATTAAATATATAAAGGTTTGAGGTCATGTTTTGTTCCGTTTGAGCTAAAATTCCTTCTGCAGCACTTGCCATGCAAAACAACATTCAGTATCATGTCCCAGCCCTGACAGAGCAGACGAGAAGATAGTTCAGTGGAAAGGCAGCCGGATAGGAAGAAGGAGATGTAATGAGCGAGTGAGAGCCATGCAGATAGAGAAGGCAAATCTCACAAGGAAAAGCCCAGGAGCAGGAGATCAAAATAGGTAAGAGAGGAATATAGTTGTTTTGGGAGGTGGGAGGCCAGACATTTCCAATTTGTTTCTCTACTTTTATGACAACAGTATCTCATGCGATGGTAGAGTTCCACAAGCATCTGCAATCATTAGTAGCTCACGCATGTGCCATTCTGGGTGCTCAGAGTATGAGTATTGTCAGTAGATAGTCAGAGAAAAAAAATGTTAACTCCCCTCTTCCTATCCCAACACAGTTCATAAACATAGAAGTCTACAATGTAGAGTCATTAGGCAGGGGCAGAAGCAATTGGCTTCTGTGAAGTCTGGGAACTAAAGCTGGGGCTTTCTGGTCTCAGTTCTGTAAAAGATGGGTATTTACCCACTGAAGCATCGGCTAAAAGGATCAGAGGCAGAGTTGTATAATTGTTGGATTGCTTTTCCGGGGGTAATAATCCCTTCAAAAAATAAATAATGAAAATAATAATAATAATTTGGTCCGTGTTTTTGGGACACTGCTGTGTGCATTTTGCCGCATGTCCCCCACAAAGTATACAGTCAGTTACCTTTCAATATATTCTGCGAAGCGCTTTGAGATGTCTCAAAGACGTGATAAGGTGCTAAATCAAATGCAAGGATTATTATTATTACTGTGAGCCATGGGTCACTGCTGACAACACTTCCTGCCCATATGCATACTAGTCAGAGGAACTTCTGGTGTTCTCTGGGATGCTAACCTGAGTTAGGGGTGCTATATAAATCCAGGTTGCTGTTGTTGAACTGCTTTGCAGCTGCCGCAGTTTCTTGCACATCTGTGTGCAGGACGCGACACTAATTTGGAGTCCTGTAGCTCAGTGGTTAGAGCACTCGCCTTGCAAGCGAGACACCTGGTTTCAATTACAGGCAGGGCAAAACCTTGGGCAAGTTTCCTTGCTCCACACGCCTAATAATAATCCCTTCAAAACAAAACAATAATAAAATGGTCATTTTTAATCCACGACTGTTTATGGCACATTGCTGTGCGCAATTGGCTGCCGTGTTTCGCCCACAAATATACAGTCAATTCATTTTACAGCATATTCTGTGAAGCGCCTTGGGACGTCTAGAAGACGTGAAAAGCGCTACATCAAATGCAAGGATTATTATTATTATAATTTCACTTCTTTCACGACATGACGCCATTGTGCGTCTTGCGCATAGTGCTCATGCTCAACACCAGATGTGATGTTAGTGGAAACCTGACAAGTAGAATTTTCCAAGCGTATTAACAAAGCTAAAGTTACCTCAGGTAATAAATCATCCTACACAATGAGAGCAATGACGGTTAGAAAATGTGGGTAATGCTGATGATGTTTATATTAAGACGTTGCTGGAACTTATTAGCTACTGATTTACTTTTATAGTTCTTTTCAGTTATACAGAACAGAGGTGTGGTGTCATATCAAAGCATCATGAAAATTGGCTTGATAGCAAATTAGTATTTTGTACGTTTTGACTCAGAGATACCTGAATGAGCTTTGCTCTTTATTGTGCTTTTTATGATCCCTGTGTTTCAAAAGTAAGTGGATATCCTGGAATTGAACCGCCCCGGCCTATTACTCAGATTCCACAGAATCTGTAAACAACGTAGGTGTCCATATAAGTCCCCGCTTGCCCTTCCTACCCACATCTAATCCTTGATTAGGACCGCATTCCTCCACGTTTGCCACCGTGCCTATCTCTGACCCTACCTCCCACCCAGTGCAGCCGAAACTCATATTTGTCACCTTCACTTTCAAAAATTCCAATTCCTTCCTCATCGGTCTCCCCCCGCGCCACCATTTCGTAAGATCCAATTCATTCAAAACTCCACCTATCGTATCCTCACCCGCACCAAACTCTGAACCCCATTACTCCAGTACTTGCCCGGCTCCACTGGCTCCCTATTACTCCCTATTGCAGAACAGATCGATTGCATGATCCTCACGCTCATGTATAAATCACTTCACGCACTAGCACTCTCCTGCCTCTGCTTACACCCCATTCATCAACCTGCTCAGCTAACTCTGACCTCCTGCACGTCCCTTCTGCTCCACTATTGGCAGCTGTTCTTTCAGCCACTACAACAACAAGATTACATTTGTATAGCGCCTTTCACGTCAGGAGGACGTCCAAGGCGCTGGACAGTGTACAGCATTTCAGACCCGAGCTGGGGTCGGGAGCGGGAGGGGAGGGGAAGGGGTGTGACCGATGGCATGGTCGAAGAGGCGGGACTTGAAGGAGGCTAAGGAGGCCATGGAGGGCTTTGTAGGTGAGGAGCAGAATCTTGAACTGGATCTTCTGAAGGATAGGGAGTCAATGGAGTTGGGCGAGAGTGGGGGAGATGGGGTCGCGGAGTTTGGTGCGGGAGACGACACGGGCTGCAGAGTCTGGATTATCTGCAGCCCACAAATCTATGGAACTCTCTACCTTAATCCCTCCACTTTGCCTCCTCCTTTCCCATCTTCAGTTAACACCTGAAGAGCTTCCTCTTCGACCGTGCCTACTGTCACCTCCCCCCCTCTCTCTGGCTTATCATTAAGCTCTGCCACTGTTAAATACTCGAGACACCATCCTGCATAATTGCAGCTTGTCATTATTGTGCTTCCTAATAAAGTCTATTTTTACCAACCTAAACACTGTCTATGTGCAACCTAATCACAGGGGAAGGTGCAAAGTCAGGTTATACTTTGTAACAAACAATTTACTTGGAATACAGACCTTTAAACAGAGTCATTCAGGAAGAAATAAAACAAAATTGGCCAGGACGTTTTTTTCCACCTCTGCAACATTGCCCGCCTCCGACCATACCTCACAAAAAAAACGCTTTGTCACTCAATCCACGACTGTTTGTGGGACACTGCTGTGCGCAATTGGCTGCCGTGTTTTGCCCTCAAAATATACAGTCAATTCGCTTTACAGTATATTCTGTGAAGTGCTTTGAGACGTCTCAAAGAAGTGATTAGGTGCTGTATCAATTGCAAGAATTATAGTTTATTATTATCAGCGGATTGGAAGTAGCAGCTGGAAGAACAGAAGTAGATTTGGGTGTCATTCGCATACAAGTGGAAGTTGACCCCATGTCTGTGGATGACATTGACATGTAGATGAGGAAAAGGAGGGGGCCAAGGATGGAGACTTGGGGTGCCCTGCTGGTGACCAGGCGGGGGTGAGAGGAAAAACCATTTGCCGAGATGAAGTGCTGGTGGCTTGTTAAGTAGGACTCAAACCATATGAGTGCGGTCCAACTAAGGTAGATAAGGGAGAAGAGGTGGTCGAGGAGGATGGCATGGTCAACTGTGTCGAATGCAGCGGAGTGGTCCGGGAGGACGAGGAGACAGAGGGAGACTTGGTCACAGAGAGAGAGGATGCCATTTGTTACTTTGACAAGTGCTGTCTCTGTGCTGTGGGCTTGGCGGAAACTGGAGTGGTTCAAATAGGCAGCGCCTTGGGACGTCCTCCCGACGTGAAAGGCGCTCAATAAATGGAATCTTGTTGTTGTTGTTGTTGTGGAGGGCAAGGTGTGAACGAAGTTGGTTTACAACAACGCGTTTCAGGGCTTTGGGCAGGAAGGGCGGGTTTGAAATGGGATGGTAGTGTGCGAGGTTGAAGAGATTGAGAGTAGGTTTTTTAAGGAAGGGAATGATGACAGCTGTTTTGAATGGGAGTAGGAGTGAGCCTGAGTTGAGGGACTGAGTTATCATGTCTGCCAGCAGTGGGCAGCGGAGGGGAAGTTGAGCGACCAGCAGCTGGATCGGTGGGTGGGGGGGGGGGGGGGGGTTAGAGGCAGCTGGGTTTCATCTGGATGATGGAGGATGAGAGGGAGTAAGGTGAGATGGGGGCAAAGGAGTGTAGGTTGGTGCCCTTGATAGGAGCCATGGGAGGAGGAGTGGGTGATGGAGAAGGAATGGGGAGGGTGGTGGTGAGGGAGATGGGGCAGGAAGAGAAGGCGGCCAGGCAGATGTTATCTTGGCATTTGATGTTAGGATTGAGGGTGCTTCATGGGGCGTGCAGCTGAGGTCTATTCAAGGATGCACAATCCACCTCACTGAGCCAGTCCGGAACCTTGGCCCTACTCTGGAACTCCATCCCACGGTCTCTTCGCTTCGTTTCCTCCCTTGCCTCCTTCAAGGTTGGTCTCAAGACCTTTCTTTTCGACCGTGCCTTTGATCTCCCTCCCACCTCTCTGCCTTCCCTCACCCCTACACCACCCCTCCCCCTGCTCGGGTCCCAACACCTGGCTGTTCAGCGCTTTGGGACGTCCTCCCGACGTGAAAGTCGCTCTATAAATGTAATAATAATAATAATAATAATAATCCTTGCATTTGATATAGCGCTTTTCACGTCGGGAGGACGTCCCAATGTAACTTTGTTGTTGTTGTTGTCTTGTTTGACCCTCAACTATCCTTTCTACCCCATATCCGCGCCATGGCCCGCTTTCCCTTCTCCCACCTCCGCAACATCGCCCGGCTCCACAACTGTCTCACACCGTAGGCCACCGAGACTTTTATAGACACTTTCATAACATCCAGGCTTAAATATGCAAACTCCCTGCTTGTCAGCCTCCCCAACTCCTCCCTTCACAGGCTGCAGATCATCCAGAACTCTGCAGCCTGTGTCCTCTCCCACACCAGGCTCCGTGACTTACCCCCATCCTCGCCCGACTCCACTGGCTTCCCATCACACAGAGGATACAGTTCAAGATCCTGGACTTCATCTTCAAAGCCCTCCGTGGCCTTACTCCTATTGCTGCAACCTCCTAACCGCCTGCCAACCTGCCTGCTCCCTACGTTCAGTGGGCTCCGGCCTGCTTCAAGTCCCTCGCCTCGCCTGCCCCACCATTGGCGGGCTGGCCTTCAGCCACACTGTCCCCACCCTCTGGAACCCCACCCCGCAGTCCCTCCAGCTCGCCTCCTTCAAGATCTGTCTCAAGACCCTCCTCTTCAACCGTGCCTTCGATCACCCTCCTTCCCCCCCACTCTCCACCCTCCTCGATCCTGACCCCCAGCTCAGGTCCAAAACACTGATTGTCCAGCGCCTTGGGACATCCTCCCGACGTGGAAGGTGCTATACAAGTGTAACTGTTGTTGTTGCTTGATGGGGCGAGAGCGGGAGGTGGTGGGTGGTGGAGAATAGGATTTCGGAGCTGTTTTTGGCCTCTAGATTGACCCGTGAGTAGGATGCAGTTTTGGCTTGTGAGAGAGAACAGCGGTGGGTTTAAAGATGCTTGAGCCACAGCTGCCGGTGAACCGTGAGGACGGTTTTGTGCCATCTGCGCTCGAGCAACCGGGTTTGGGATTTGAGGGAGCGGAGATGACTATTACCCGGGGGAGAGGGTAGGTTTTGAGACGGTCTTGAATTTCAGATGGAAATTGGATGAAGAAGGACGTACGACTCACTCATCCTTTCAGAACATGCACCTACCATCCCACCATCATTAAGCTATTTTTTAAATTAGTCCAGCATCCTAGCTTTAACCACCTTTCCTGGCAGCCAGTTCCAGTTGTTGATCACTCTCTCAGTAAAGAAAAACAACCTGCTTTCTGCCCTTACAACTCTAAAACTACATCCTCGTCTCCTATTGTCTTGGTAAATCTTAAAGTATTGATTTGTTTAGATCGCATTTCAAATTTTGTACACCTCTATCAGGTCCTCTCAGAATCACCTTCTCTCAAGATGAAAGAGTGCTAGCTTGTTTAACTGTTGCTCGTAGCTCATTCAGATACACAGTCGATCCACTTTACAGTACGTTCTTTGAAGAGCTTTGAGACGTCTCAACAACTTGATACGGCACTAAATCAAGTGCAAGGATTATTATTATCTTACACTGGATCAGGTAATTAATACTGTATATACAAGGAACCAGGAAGGTCCCAGTACAGATCTCTGTGCCACCCTGCTTAATACCTACCCCCATTTTCACCCAGCTTTCCTAACAAAAGGCCTCTGCTTCCTTCCCTTCAACCAATTCTGAATCCATGTCTTGTCCTTGATACCTTGTGACCACAGTTTGTGAAGGAGTCTTTTAGAAAGTACTTTGTGAAACACCTTTTGGAAGTCAAGATAGTATATGGCAAATTGCAGATATTAAGAAAGCACAATGAAAGTGTCTAGCCTTGATCAGGCTTTGCTGTGATGGAAGTCACAGTTGCAAAAGTCTGCTCACCTTTATTATCTAGGCTCGCACATCAAGAATGGTTCCAAGATCAATATGCTGGAATTTGTAAAACCATACTTAAGCATGAGAGAGCACTTTTAGGAAAGAAGAGAGGAAAAACAAAACACATTACTAAAGCAAAATAGTCATAAAATAGTAAATTGGTCACTTCAATCCACGACTGTTTGTGGGACACTGCACAATTGGCTGCTGCGGTTCACCCACAAAATATACAGTCAATTCAGTTTACAGTATATTCTGTGAACCGCTTTAAGACGTCTTGAAGACGTGATAAGGCGCTATATCAAATGCAAGGATTATTATTATTAAAATGCTTTTGTGCTGTCTGCCATGATAAAATTGCATATAATTAGGTTTTTCGGCACATTGCAATTTTTTCTAACAATTTGTTCTTTTTGTTTGATTGTAGGCAAGGCCACCCAAGAGCAGCTTTTGTAAGCTCGTTGGCAAAGAAATGTTCAGCACTTGATGCGGACGATGAAGCTGTGCTGAACCTCATTTCAAAGTGTAACTGGGACCTGAATAAACCGTGTGTCATCACAGGTTCTGCCAAAAATATTCCTGATGCTGATATGCACACTTTGCAAGGTAAAAATTAGGAAATGTTACAGAAAAGGATGGAAATGTTTAGCAGTCGTGAAAGAGAAAACTATGTTAATTATCTCCGCAGCCTGATTTGATTAAGTGTGCCACATTCAAAATGTTAACCTATCTTTCTTTTAAAAATATTGCCTGACATGATCACAATGTTTAAGAACGTAAGAACATAAGAAATGCCAGACGAAGAAAGACCAAGATCCGTCTAGTTCGCCTTCCATCTTGGAGTCCTGTAGCTCAGTGGTTAGACCACTCGCCTTGCAAGCGAGACACCTGGGTTGAATTCCAGGCAGAGGGCGAAACCTTGGGCAAGTTTCCTTACTCCACACGCCGAATAATAATCCCTCCAAAAAACAAAACAGTAATAAAAATTGGTCATTTTCAATCCATGACTGTTTGTGGGACACTGCTGTGCGCAATTGGCTGCTGCGTTTTGCCCACAAATATACGGTCAATTCACTTTACAGTCTATTCTGTGAAGCGCTTTGAGATGTCGAGAAGACATGAAAAGCGCTATATCAAATGCAAGGATTATTATTTATTATTATTATTATCTTCCTGGGGGTCACGTGCGCATATGTCCCGAACTGCCTATATACTATATTACTATATCCCATGATGTTATTGCCTAAAAGAAAACTATCTAATCTGTGTTTGAAAGAAACAACACTTCCTGCTTCAACTGTTCCCCGATGGAGCCTGTTCCACATAGTTATTTTTCTGTTGTACTAACTGTTAGTAATACATTGTTTGTAGAGTATGAAACTGTCTTTATGTAGCACTTGCACATGAGGGCTGTTTATTGTTGCTGAGCCAATTGTGTGAATGACCTTGGACAGACCAAACAACTTGTTTAATTTGGCAGCGTAAAGCCATTATTTAGTTCTGGTTTACCATCACTGGCTGTTGTTTCGATTGTGCAGACAATTCGAGTTCACAGCCCAATGCAAAGCGATGAACATGAAGCATGAATATAATTGACTGCAATGCAGTCACAATGACAAAGAAATATAAGGAGGAAAAGCACATTAGATCAAAGGTTTAATGTAGATAAAAATCAGTGCAAAATCAAGTCTACATTATTACAAAGTTTGTCAGCATTTCTAAACCTAGCTGACAGGATCTCTGTTGTTTTCACTAGAATGTCCAATATGTCTCAACAATGTGATAAGGCACTATATGAAATACAGGAATTATTATTATATGGAAATAGGCCTAAAAGCTTACAAAAAAAATTAGGAACCATAAGAATGACAATGCCATCCATAGAGGAAAAAACCATTGCAAGATTATTAGGATAGCGAAAGTTTTGCTTTTCATTGCTTAAGACATGGGCTGTTGATAAGCATGGAGTTTATTTTTCACTTACCTTTCTAGTTATTGGATCAGAAAGGCCAGGGTTACATGTGATCCAAGACCCTCTAGTCTTGGATCACATGTAACCGTGGTCTTTCTGATCCAATAATTAGGAGTTAACCTCAACAATACAAGGGAATGTTTTTTGTTAATCTTTCCTCCCCATTACTGCTCAGTAGTTCCCAAAAACTCAACTAGAATGAGATAGTCATTTGTGTGGGAAATCAAACTTATGTCATTTAGTTTGGTACTATACAATGTTGTTCCAATGTATGAATTGTTGTTATACCTGTGGGAGAAAGAGTGCTAATTTTTTTAATACTTTCAATATAAATCATATCTACAGACAACATTAGGTTAAAACAAAGTGTTTGATTGTTACATATCTTAGTTTTCCAACAATTATTCTGCTTTATTCTGGAGTCCTGTAGCTCAGTGGTTAGAGCACTTGCCTCACAAGCGAGAGACCTGGGTTCGATTCCCAGCAGGGTGAAATGTTGGACAAGTTTCCTTACTCCACACGCCTGTTTACCTAACAGTAAGTAGGAACCCGGTTGTTAGTCGACTGGTGCATTACTTTTCCGGGGATAATAATTCCTTAAAAAAAAATTAGTTACTTCATAATTATTTGGGGAGGACAATGCCACTTGAGTCACATTACAGGCTTCTCAATATCAATAGCAGGGGTGCAGGGAGAGAGCATGGGATTGATTTGGATAGCTCTTTTCAAAGAGCCGTCACAGACACGATGGGCTGAACGTCCTCCTTCTGTGCTGTATAATTCTGTGATTCTATGATTCAATCCACGACTGTTTGTGGGGCAATTGGCTGCCGTGTTTCGCCCACAAAATATACAGTCAATTCACTTTACAGTATATCCTGTGAAGCCCTTTGAAATGTCTCGAAGACGTGATAAGGCGCTATATCAAATGCAAGGATTATTATTTGATTACCAAGAAGGTTTGAATTGTTTATTTACTGAGTGATTTAACGGTAGGATTAAATGTCTGGAATCCTATTGCAGTAAATGTTTTTATTTAAATTATTTGTGAAAGTGCTGAATAGTAATAGTACTGAAAATGCAGCAGCTCCATTAATAGAACTTTTGCACTGTCGTTTAGTTGGATTTCATATGAACTGAAGCAACAGGTTAAAAAAAATAGATTCCAGATTGACAGCAATTCAATTTAACAGATGAGAGGACAGATAATTCAGAGGTTGAACAGTAAGCTCCTCTGTACGTCATACTAGTGATATTGAGAAGCCTGCAATGAGACTCAAATGGCATTGTTCCGTTGCAAAATGTCTCCATGTCACTCTTACTAACACAAATCGCATTGTTTCGTTGTTATGCTTTTGAAATGTATTCATTGCACTGTACGCGTCCATTGTGTTTTTTTCCCTGATGAAAGCTATCCATAAACCATGTTGATTTGGAACTCAGATGTGTTCCAGAACTGGTCTATCATGGCTTTGATCCTGTTAAATGTTTTCCCTTGATTTAAGATCCTTCCATTTTCTACCAATTTCCTGTTCGCTCTGTTGAATGCATCTTGTATTGCAGGTAGGCAATATCCTGTTCGCAGCTCATTGTCAAAGACACTTGAATTAGTGTACAGTTAGCCGAGATGGGCTCTTTTCTCAGATTTGACAGATTTGGCTTAATTGATCACACTCACCTCTCAGTCAGAAAGTTGCAGCTGAAAGCCCAACCGCAGAACTTGAGCTCTTAGTCTAGGCTAAAACTATTGCATTGCTGGGGACAATTGTCAGAGATATCATCATTTGGATCAGACATTAGACATTAAACTGAAAACTGTATTTCAGGTAGATGTTATTATTATTATTATGATGTTGTAGATCCATGACACCAGCCAGTTTAGCTCCAAGTAAACCCTACTTACCTCCTGCACTCCACCAGGAGGATACTCAGTAACCTTAATAATAATAATAATAATCCTTGCATTTGATATAGCGCTTTTCACGTCGGGAGGACGTCCCAAAGCGCTTCACAGAATATACTGTAAAGTGAATTGACTGTATATTTGTGGGCGAACGCCTTAAGGGTTAATATTAGAATAATAAATATTTAATATGTTTTCCTTTATTATTAGACTCAGTGAATGGGTAAGCATTCAACCACATTACCCTCACTCTCTCTCTCCCTAATCCTTTTGCCTTGCACTCTCCCTTTCCACTTTCAGAATCTTTTCAGAAACGCACCTCTCTGACTATGCCTTCTGTCACCTATCCCCCCCCCGCATTTCACCCCCTGTTTGAGCAGATATTCTCTGTAAAGCGCTTTGAGATGACTTGAAAGATACATGCAAGATTTCTGATTCAGCATCACAATATGTTGTGTCTGTTCTATGCTAGGGCTAGCTGCACCCCCACTGGGGCTATGTACAGAAATCCCATTTCCCCACTCTTTCCCTGTTGTATTTTCTTTCAAATGTTTACCCAATTCCCTTTTAATGCAGGTTACAAATTTTCTCACATGTTCATCGTGGAGTCCTGTAACTTAATGGTGAGAGCACTCGCCTTGAAAGCGAGAGCTCTGGGTCGATTCCCAGCAGGGCGAAACGTTGGGCAAGTTTCCTTACTCCACATGCCTCTGTTTACCTAGCAGTAAGCAGGAACCTGGTTGTTAGTCAATTGTCGGATCCCTTTTCTGGGGGTAATAATCCCTCCAAATAAAATAACAAAAATAATAATAATCATTTGGCCACTCAATCCACGACTGTTCTGGGACACCGCTGTGCGCAAATGGCTGCCTCATTTCTCCCAAAAAATGCAATATCAAATGCAAGGATTATTATTATTAATTTAAGGGCTCATAATTGTCATAAAAGGTTGTGGATCATTAATTTCCAATGATTAATACATAGCAATGTAAATATTGAACTTGTTCCTTAAATGAGGTTTTCCATATCTCAGTACCTCCCTTTTCAGTCACTGAATTGCCAGGCTTAACTAATGTCTAATAATGGGTGGTTTCATTGTGGATTGATTATTACGTACAGGATCTTGGCTACAGTACTAAATTGCAGGTTGGAACTTGCTCATATTTCACACCATCAAGGAATCATTCTACAAAAATGACAATGTCTATTTTATTTAATCTCTTGTTATACTTAAAAGATAATCATGTTAAAGGATTAATCGTCAGGAATATGAGATATTTCCTGTTCAGAATGAAAGAAAAATGTGGTCCAACAATTGAAGTGTAATTAGACCCCAGATTATTACCGTATTTGGAAAGGGCAGACAAAGTAATTGTTGTTGTGCTGTTTTGTATAGTGGGTAGCATAACTCTAGATATATCCAGGAATATCTGTAACATATATGGGCATGACACAAAACTGATCCTTGTGGCTATGTGATCACAAACTTGAAAGAAATGTACAAAGAATGCTGCTGATCAAGTGGTGGATTTCCCATAATTAAATCAATCTCTGCTTCAGAAAGGGATAAACCAGTTTTGTGCATGAAAGAGGCTGTGTTTCAGGTGTCAACACTATGGGTGTGAGGTCTCAGAGGTAAGAGAAATAGGTGTCTGAAGCTTATCATTGACATTCTGGGTTGATGAACATCTGTATATAGATAACTTGTGGAATATGTTCCAATAGTGCATT